GTATCAGCTCTAGCAGTGTTTTGGTGGAATCGTTTGGGTTTTCCATATAGAGTATCATGTCATCTACATAGAGTGAAAGTTTGGCTTCTACCACGAAACTTTTGAAGTCTTTTTTTCACTTTGTTTTCTGATTGCTGCAGCTAGGACTTCCAGTACTATGTTGAACAGAAGTGGTGAGAGGAGATATTCCTGTCATGTTCCTGACCTTAGAGATTTTTCCCATTCAGAATGATATTACCTATAGGCCTTTCATATATGGCTTTTATGATGTTATGGTATGTTCCTTCTATCCATACCTTCTTGACGGTTTTTATCGAGAAAGGATGCTGTATTTTGTCAAATGCTTTTTCAGCATCTATCGACAGTTGATATAGTTCTTAGCCTTTTAAAAAAATTAATATGGCATATGACATTGATTGATTTGTGAATATTGAAAGAGCCCTGCAGCTGTTTCAAGTGGGAATAAGTCCCACTTGATCATTATGAATAATTCTTTAACATACTGTTGAAATTGATTTGCTTGTATCTTATCAAGGAATTTTGCATCTAGGTTCATCAGGAATATTGGCCTGTGATTCTCCTTTTTAGTGAGGTCTTGTCTGGTTTGGGAATCAAGATAATGCTGGCTTAATAGAATGAGTTTGGAAACTTTCCTTCCATTTCTATCTTTTGGAAAATTTTGAGGATAATAAGTATTAACACTTTTCAAAGGTCTGGTATAGTTCCCCTGAGAAGCCATCTGGCCTAGAACTCTTATTTGCTGGGAGATTTTTGACAATCGATTCAATTTCTATGCTGGTTATGGGCCTGTTGAAATTTTCCATTTCTTCTTGTTTGAGTTTGGTAGTGTGTGAGTGTCCAGGAATTTGCCCATTTCTGCCTGATTATTCAGATGTTGGCATATAATTTTTCATAGTATTCTTTAATAATTGTATTTCTGTAGTGGTTGTGATCTCTCCTTTTTCATTCGTGATTTTATCTATTTGGGTCACCTCTCTTATATTTTGAAAAGTCTAACCAGGGGGCTTATCAATTTTGTTTATTCTTTCAAAACATCATCTCTTCATTTCATTGATCTGTACTAGAGTTTGGGGGGAGATTCTATATTGTTTATTTCTTCTCTAATCTTTTTATTTCCCTTCTTCTGCTGGCTTTGGGCATTATTTGCTACTTTTGTTCTATCTCCTTTAGGTGTGAGGTTAGGTTGTGTATTTGGGATCGTTCTTGCTTCTTGCGATAGACATGAATTGCAACGTATTTTCCTTATAGGACTCCCTTGCTGCATCCCAAAGGGTTTGGACTGTCATGTTTTCATTTTCATTTGCTTCTATGTATTTTTAAATTTCTCCTCAAACTTCTTGATTAACCAATTCATTCTTTATTACAATGTTCTTTAACTTCCAATTTTAGTATATGTGCTGCCGAAGTGAGCACTGTTCTTTAACTTCCATGTATTTGAGAGCTTTCCAAATTTTTTCTTGTGGTAAGTTTCATAGATATATGATCTGAAAAAAATTCATAGTATGGTCTCATTCTTTTCGTACTTGTTGAGGTCTAATTTGTGATGCAATATGTAATCTATTCTGGAGAATATTCCATGTGCACTTGAGAAGCATGTGTATTCTGCTGCTTTAGCATGAAATGTTCTGAAGAGATCTGTTAAGTCCATCTGGTCTAATGTGTCATTCATAGCCGTTGGTTCCTTGTTGACTTTTTGCTCAGATGATCGGTCCATTTCCCCTAAGTGGAATACTAAAATCTCCTACAATTATTGTATATTATCAATAAGTTTGTGTATATTTGTAATTAATTGATTGATATATTTGTGTGTGCCAAGTGGGGGCATAAATATTTACTGGTAGCTCTTCTTGATGGATAGGACCCATAATTTTGATAAATGCTTTTCTTGATCACTTGTTAGAGTCAATGCTGTAAAATCTACTTTGTCTGATATAAGTATGGCTGCTCCAGACAGTTCTTTATCCCCTCACTTTAAAAAATCCGCAGATGTTTTAGGTGTAAAATGAGTCTCTTGTAGGCAGCATAGAGATGGATTTCATTTTTTAATATATCCATTCTGATACCCTATGTCTTTTGATAAGGCATTTAGTTCATTCACATTCAGAGTGATTACTGATAGATATGAACTTAGTGCCATTGTTTGGTCTATAGATTTCATGTTTGTTATGTTATTCTCTGGTCCTTTATAGTTTTTGCTGCTTTCCACTCATTGAGTCCCCATTAGAATCCTTTGCACGGCTGTTTTAGTGGTGATGAATTCCCTTAATTTTTGTTTGTCTGGAAAAATCTTTATCTCTTCTATTCTGAATAACAGTCTTGTTGGAACAAGGATTTTTGGCTGCATATTTTTCCTATTCAGCACATTAAATATTTCCATCCACTCCCTTCCAGCCTACTGTGTTTCAGATGACAGGTCTGGTACTAGACTTATGTGTCCACTCTTATAAGTTAAAGACCTTTTGTCCCTAGCTGCTTTCAGAATTCTCTCTTTATCTTTGTATTTTGTTGGTTTCACTATGGCATGTGGTGGTGTTGATCTGTTTTTGTTGATTTTGAAGGAAGTTCCCTGTGCCTCTTAGACATAGATGCCTGTTTCCTCCTCCAGATTAGAGAAGTTATCAGCTGTAATTCATCCAAATAAACCTTCTGCCCCTTTGTTTTGCTCTTCTTCTTCTGGGTTCCTATGATGCTGATACTGTTTCATTTCATGGAATCACTTAGATCTCTACATATCTCCTCCTGATCTAGTAATTTCCTTTCCTGCTTTTCTTCAGCTTCATCATTTTGCATAATTTATCTTCTATCTCCCCTATTCTCTCTTCTGCCTCTTCCATCTTCTCTGTCACTGTACCTAGTTTAATGCATCTCAGCTATAGCATTTTTAAATTCATCCTGACTTCTTCTCAGGTCTTTGTTCTCAGCAGCAGGGGTTTCTCTTGTGTCTACTATGCTTTTATCGAGACCAGCTATTGGTCTTATGACTGTTATTCTGAGTTCTTGTTCAGACAATTGTTTATATCAGTTTTGAACAATTCTCTGTCTGTGATTTCTCTTTCACCTTTCTTTTGGGAAGAATTCCACCATCTTGTCATTTTGGCCAAGTTTCTGTCATTGGCGTGTTTTAATAGCTTGTGATATGTCTTGCACATAAATGTACTACTAAATTAAATAGGGTCATAGTGTCCAGAGCCTAGCACTCCAGGAAGTGTTTCTGGCATAGGTTGCCTGCACTCTGCTTTTCTGTTTAGGCTGCTCTATCTCACTGGTCAGTCTTCTGCAGAGCTCCTACTTGCAGGCTGTGGGGGAATCTTTAGAACTTTAACTAGGTGTACATTGATTTGTTTGTTGAGGTAACCTTGAAGAAATCTGGGGAGAGCTTGATCACATTAAAAGAGAAAAGTAAAATGGGAGAAAAGAAAAACAAACAAAGAATTAAAAGACTATGAAACAAATTCCCAAAAAAAAGAAAAGAAAGAAGAATAAGAAAGTGAAAGCATGGTAAAGAATACAATAAAAATGCCTGATTAAAAGGTTTAAATATATATTATAGGAATTGATAAAAAGCAAATCAGAAACTATGAACCTGATTCCAAAGGAAAAAAGAAGAGGGAAGTAAGCTAAAGAAGAAGAAGCACAACAAAAAGTTTTCTTTTAGTGCCTGGGGCTGGTGGCTGTGATCTGGAGAAGAGGCCAGCTGCCAAATCTGTGAATCTTGCTCCAGTGAATAAGCAGTAACCAGGACAGATGAGGGGGATTTGATGTAAGAGTGTCCCATCTCCACTACTGTTCTCTGAAGCCCCATTGGACTTTGGGAGAATAATGTGTTTGGGAGAATAATGGCAATACCCCCCAGTCTCTCCTTGATGGACTAGGACTCTCAACCTCAACCTATAATGTTCAGCCAGCCCTCAAAGAGTAACAAGAGCAGTCAACTCTCCCTGCACCATAGTTCTCCTGTGACTTTTACTGAGCTCTCACTGGGATTCAAAACTGGATGTCTAAAAGGACCCAGCCCCATGTCAATCTGCTCCTCTGCTCTGGAATAGAGCCTCTCACCCTGCTGATGAATCGCCCTTAGCTGTCACCTACAGGATTTTTTGTCCTTTGGGAGACACTAACCTCTCTTCCCAAAGTACTCCAGGAAGGGGACTGGTCTCTCCCAGTGTGACCTAGAGATCGCTACACCATGCTATGCACTCTGGGGCCAGCTTCCTACTCCCCAGAAGCCTAAGCCATGGCTCCACTTGGGAGAAAGTCACACACTTTCAAAACTTCCAAGTTTCAGCTCCAGAGGCTGTCTGCACAACAAAACTGACACTTTACTGTCCACTGGTTCCCTAGTTCATGATCCAGAGAGGTTTTCCTCTTGTGCTAACTCAGTGCAGCACTTTCAGAGCCCCTCTCTCTTTTGTTCGCTTTTGTCTCTCCACAGAAAGGGTTCCTTCCTCCTCAGTGGCTATGTCAGTTATGTCACATACACACACCTCCTGCCAGGCTATCTTCCCCCAACTGTGGTGATACTTTTTCAGCTCCACGGATCAATTACCTGGGTGTTTTAAGTGATCTGATCTCAATGCAGCTATGTTTGAGCGGCGAGGAAAATACTGGTCCTCCTGCTTCTCCACCATCTTATCTCCTTCCTGAATGCCCTCTTGCTGTCTTTCATTTGCTGGCACCTGATTGAGATCAAATAGTGCAGTATGACCCTCTAATAGTAGAGAGTCCAAGGGCACAAACCATTACCAAATTCTTAGAGATCATAATCATACATATTTACTGGCCAAGATAAAGGTCCACTACCAGTGGCAAAACTAAAGCTACCAGGTTTGACACTCTGTAACTTATAAAGGCCAATAAATTTAAATGAAGCTTAACAAAAGTTTTGCAGAAGATTGAAATTCTATCTCTGGGACCCATGAGTGGAACTATGTGGACCTTAGAGAGAAGAGGCACCAGGTAGGTACCAGACACATTAGAAAATGACATTCAAAAAGGAACTCTGGGATCTAGTGGCCACAGTCATCAGAGGTGGGCCAGGCCTCTACTGCTCCTTAGAGGAAGAGGTAAAGAGCTTCTAGCTTCAAAGGAGCTACACCTTGCCTTCCTTCAGTATCTACATTGCTCAGTCTGAAGGAGACCCCCACAGCCTATCAAATGCAAGTACTCTCTTTTGCCATGCCTATTACTCTTACTGAGCAGAACAGGATGATAAGATTGCTAGTAGACCCCTTAGAACTAATGCTGCCTCAGGAGGTGTGTTGGAACAGATTCAGTGAGATGCACAACTGCACCACAGGATGGCTGAGCACCAGACACTGGCAGGTCCAGTTAGAAGGATTTCAACCAGTGTGTCACTGGCCATGTTCTAACCCAGACTTCATCTCCTTCTACATTAAATGGTACCAATAAAATCAATGCTTAAGTGAGGCCCTCCCTCCTTACACATGCTTCAAATCATGTGCTAGACAGAAAGGCTCTCCCAGTGTAACCAAAAGAGACCTGCCTCACTGGCAGCTTAATGCTCTAATGCTCTTAGTATAATTTTAATGGGGTGATATGTGGATTGCACACTGGCATCCATAAATGCCCCTACAATTAGCCTATCAATATGCCTGAAACTATATGCATTAGGGATCAAGTCCACACAAATCTTGGTCATGGATACTACATGCTCTTTTGCAAGGTGCACCAATGCTGATCCAATGAAGTTCATGGAGAACTGCTTACCTAGCAGTAGAGTGCATACTTTAGCTCCGCCTTTGTCCAGGCTCCCAGTACATATACTCAGAACTCAACACCAGCCTGACACCATTACTGTTTTGGATTTCAGAAGGCACAGAAAAAGCAATGACAAAATACAAAATCCATTCATGATAAAAAACAACCAAACAAAACCTTAACAAACTGTGTATAGAGAGAATACCTCAATATAGTTAAGGCCATTTATGAAAAACCCACAGATAATACATCCATAATAGGGAAAAACTAAGAGATTTTCCCTGAAGGTCACAAGACAAGGATGTCCACCCTCACTACTTTTGTTTAATATACTCCTGGAAGTCCTGGGGGCACCTGGAGTTCAATAGGTTAATTGTTCGACTCTGGATTTTGGCTCAGGTCATGTTTTCACAGAACCTGAGATGAAGCCATGTGTCAAACTCCATGCTGAAGAGGGCGGAGCCTGCTTGGGATTCTCCCTCTTTCCCTTTCTGTGCCCTTCCCCTGCTCTCTCTCTCTCTCTTTCAAAATAAATAATTAAAACTTTAAAAAAAAAACATAGTTGTGGAATCCTAGCCAGAGCAATCAGAAAACAGATAGGAATTAAAGCATCCTAATGGGTGAAAAATAAGTGAAACTGTCATTTTTGAAGATGACCTGTTATTATATATAGAAGAACAAAAGATTCCACCAAAAACCTGCTAGAACTGATAAATGAATTCAATTCAATAAAGATGTAGGATACAAAATCAATGGACAGAGATCTGTTACATTTCCATATGCCAATAATGAAGCAGCAGAAAGAGAAGTCAAGGATTCAATCCCATTTACAATTGCATCCAAAACAATAAGACACCTAGGAATAAACGTAACTAAAGAGGTAAAAGACTTGTACTCTGAAAGCTGTAAAACAATGAGGGAAGAAATTGAAGATGACAGAAAGAAATGGAAAGATATTCCATGTTCATGAACTGGAAGAATAAAAATTGTTAAAATGTCTAACTACCCAAACCAATCCACATATTTTATGCAATCTTATCAAAGTACTAACAGCACTTTTCACAGAACTAGAATAAACCATCTTAAAGTTTGTATGGAACCACAAAATGTCCCAAAGAGCCAAAGCAAACTTGGAAAAGGAAGGCCACGCTGGAGGCATTACAATTCCAGACTTCAAATTATATTACAAAGCTGTAGTAATCAAGAGAGTATGGTACTGACACAAAAATAGGCATATAGATAAGTAGAACAGAATACCCAGAATACCCAGAAAACCCAGAAGGAAATCCACAACTATATGGCCATTGAATCTTTGACAAAGCAGGAAAGAATATCCAATAGGGAAAAGACAATCTCTTCAGTAAATGGATTTGGGAAAACTGGACAGCCACATGCAAAAGAATGAAACTGGATACTTTCTTATATCATACACAAAAATAAATTCAAAATGGATTAAAAACCTAAATGTGAGACTTCAAACTGGAAAAATCCTAGAAGAGAACACAAATAGTAATCTTTTTGACATCGGCCATAGCAATGTCTTTCTAGATATGTCTCCTGAGGCAAGGGAACAAAGACAAAACCAAAAAAAACTATTGGGACCACATCAAAATAACAATCTTCTGCACAGGGAAAGAAACAATGAACAAAACTAAAAGGCCACCTACAGCATGGGAGAAGATGTCTGTGAATGACATATCCAATAAAGTGTTAGTATGTGAAATGTATAAAGAACTTGTCCAACTTGATACCCCAAAAACAAAAAATCCAATTAAAAATGGGAAGATATGAAGAGACATTTCTCCAGAGAAGACTTGCACATGGCCAATAGACACATGAAAAGATATTCATCAGTTACCATCAGGGAAATACACATCAAACCTATAAAAAGATATCACCTCACACTTGTCAGAATGGTTAAAGTGAACAACACAAGAAACAACTGGTGTGGGAGAGGATGTGGAGAAAAGGGAACCCTCAGCATTGTTGGTAAGAATGTGAACTGGTCCAGCCACTGTGGAAAACAGTATGGAGATTCCACACTACTGGGTATTTATCAAAAGAATACAAAAACACTCTTTCAAAGAGATGCATGCACCCCAATGTTTATAGCAGCATTACCTACAAAAGCCAATTATGGAAACAGCCCAAGTGTCTTTTGATTGATGAATACATATAGAAGATGCCACGTATGTATGGGTATAGATGATAGATACATTAGATCGATAGATAGAAAGAAAAATAGAAACAAATACATATATATATACACATATATACATACAGTGCAATATTATTCAAACATAAAAAAGAATAAAATCTTGCCATTTTCAACAACATGGATGGTGCTAAGGGCAGAATATAAGCAAAGTAAGTCAAAGAAGACAAACACCATAATATTTCACTCATATGTGGAATTTAAGAAACAAAACAAATGAGCAAAGAGTAAAAAGGACACAAATCAGGAAATAGGCTCTTAATAACGGAGAACACATGTGATTACCAGATGGGGATTGGGGGATGGGTGAAATAGGCGAAGGGAACTAAGGAGGACACTTGTGATGAGGATGAGCATCGGGAGATGTATGGAAGGGTTGTATGGAATCCTAAAACTAATGTAACACTGTATGTTAACTAACTGAAAGTAAGTTTTTAAAGCAAAAATAAACAGCAGGTGTGAGATTATATTAAAGCTGTAAAAATATGAAATGTTTCAAAAATATCTTATACAATTATATATTTATTTATAAGAATATAATGTATATATGTAATATATACACATATTTCCAGTGGATACAAAGACAACATTCCCATACATATATGTATATAAAAATAAAGAAATAAAATGAATATTGTTTGTATATCAAGACCCAGGGAATCTTCTTACATTGAAATTCAGATTCAAGTGATTGCCTCCCAGGCCACACTTGGCTTTCAGATTCACTTAGTAGGATGACAGACTGGAATAAAGCATGCCAAAGGGGCAGCATCAGATAGTTTTATCTTCAATGGAAGATAGTCTTGAAAACGTTCATAATGCAGTCCAGGTGCTAGTGTCTGCCCACCCCACCCCCATTGTAGACTTTACTTGCAGCAGATGAATTTACACCTATGGGGGTGGAGTCTGCCCTGGCTTAGCATCCTCATCTCTCTTGGAGTCAGTACCTCTAGTAACAACTCCATGAGCATAACTTCGAGACCATGGTTACAAGAGTCACTACATTTAGTGATGTTCAAACTGTGGGTCCACACCATTTATTTTAGTTCATCCAGTATTCTTCCCAGTCAAGATACGATTTACCAAGCAAAGGACATTTTTACCATAGAAACTTAAAAAAAAAATTTTGTTGTCAAGTTGGTTTCCATATAACACCCAGTGCTCATCCCCACAAGTGCCCTCTACCATGCCCTTCACCCTCCTTCTCTTCCCCCCACCCCCATCAGCCCTCAGTTTGTTCTCAGCATTCCAGAGTCTCTCCTGGTTTGCCTCTCACCGTCTCCCCCACCATTTCCCCCCTTCATCTCCCCCATGGTCCTCCGTTAAGTTCCTCCCAATCCTCCTATATGTGAAAACACATGGTATCTGTCCTTCTCTGCCTGACTTATTTTGCTCAGCATAACACCCTCAAGGTCCATCCACGTTGCTACACATGGCCAGATTTCATTCTTTCTCATTGCCATGCAGTATTCCATGGTATAGATAAACCACATCTTCTTGATCCATTCATCAGTTGATGGACACTTAGGCTCTTTCCATGTTTTGGCTATTGTTGAGAGTGCTGCTGTGAACATTGGGGTACGTGTGCTCCTATGCATCAGCATTCCTGTATCCCTTGGGAAAATTCCTAGCAGTGCTATTGCTGGGTCATAGGGGAGTTCTATTGTTAATTTTTTGAGGAATCTCCGGTTTTCCAGAGGGGCTGCACCAGATTACATTCCCACCAACAGTAGAAGAGGGTGCCTGTTTCTCCACATTCTAGCCAGCATCTAGAGTCCTCTGATTTGCTCATTTTACCCACTCTGACTGGCGTGAGGTGGCATCTCATGATGAGGAGGGATGATGAGCATCGTTTCATGTGTCTGCTGTCCATCTGGATGTCCTGTTTGAGGAAGTGTCTGTTCATGTCTTGTGCCCATTTCTTTACTGGTTTGTTTGTTTTACGCGTGTGGTTTGGTGAGTTCCTTATAGATTTTGGATACTAGCCCTTTATCTGATATGTCATTTGCAACTATCTTTTCCCATTCCGTCGGTTGCCTATTAATTTTATGGATTGTTTCCTTTGCCGTGCAGAAGCTTTTAATCTTGATGAGGTCCCAATCGTTCATTTTTGCTCTTGATTCCCTTGCC